CTAATAAAATATAGTTATAAATAAGCTAATACATGATAATAAAATAATAATATAATAAATAAGATAAAAATATAGTAGTAATAAAATTTGACAACTAGGGTTAACACTGTAATTTTACAACAGTGAATAAAAGATGTTATTATTGTAAAATCTACTTTGGTCCCACTAAGTATTTGTACAAAAAAATTATTTTGTATTGTTTTTCAAGAGAAAGTTTCATTTTTGCAACATAACATCAGATGATCATTTAAAAATTTTGTACAAACCTATGAATATACTGGTAATCAGGTGTTGTATTACACTTTATATCTGAAAATTTTTATAATATAGAATTTATTTATACTGGAGGTCAGATACTTATGACTGTTATTGTAAGATCAGAACTTTGAGCTAACCAAGGAGGTCTTTTAATTAAATTATCTTCCTTCTATTGTTTTGTTTTATTTGAAGTATAACATGATACATTATTATCTTGAAAAATAGGATTTTCTATATTTAAATTATTTAAATATGGAAGCAAATATTCTTTAGGCAATTCTATATATCTATTAGAATTAAGGTTGTCTTCAACTAAAACTAATGGACCCAACTTATTATTACAAAAATATTTTCACATTATGATTCCTACTGAATTTTTAACTGTGGATTTTAAACAATCACTTTTATATCATTCTATTTTTCCATTCATTATTCTATTTTTTTTTACAATATTAACTAAATCATTTTTTTTATTTTTCTTTGAAATAAAAAACTTTTTTTTTGCTACATATCTACTATAACCTTCTTGATGTAAGGTTCTTCAAACTGTACTACTAGAAACTAAAATATTTAATCCAGTATTAAAACTTTCAGTTATTTCTTTCAATATTTTACTTCTATTATTTTTAACAATTTTTACTAATTATCTATTATCACAATTAGTTAATATTTTTGGTCTACCTGATTGTGTAATTGTAGAAGTCAAACCCTACTTATTATATTATTTTTACAACATCTCCTATTGTTGACTTGGGATGACCTAATAATTCTTTAATTTTATTGTATAAATGTTTTTTTTTATATAAACAATAATTTCTCCATATTTAAAATCAGTATGTTCTCTTCTTTTAAACATGATTTTTTAATAAATAATAAATAATATTTTAAAATTTATAATCAAAATAATTTATAAAAATTTAATTTATAAAATTTTTATTATTCTATTAAAATTAAAAATTAAATATTTATATTATAATTATACAAAATAAAAAATTAGCAATATATACAGTTTTTTTGTGATATATGTAGTTTCCTTGTACAGTTTCTTTATCCCTTTTTTTTTGTATTTTCAAATTTAAGAATAATATTTTATAACCTTTCTATAGTAGATTTTAAAATAATCTGTAAGAGAATTTTAATAATATAAATATTTTTATTTGTACTTAAGTAAAATTTTAATTTTTACTAAAAAATATTAAAAATGGTTTTAATAAAAATTGTAGCTCTTGTTATTAGCTACTAATTGTTATAAGATTATTCGTATCTATGATAAATATTCATCAAAATCAAGAAACTTTACAATCAATAATTTAATTTGACTTTTTTGATTAAATTATTGTCAATTATTTTACTGTTGAAGAAAATTATCAATGTTGTTACATATAAAACATTATTTTATACCAATAAAATCTCAAAAGTGAAAATAAGTAAACTTGAAGATAATATTATTTTACATTTACTGTAAAAGTTTGAAATCTACATATTAAGAATTAAAGGAATTAATAGCATTTATTTATTAAAGTTTAATTGTTAATTATTTCTTCTTTTCGCATGATATAGGCTTGAAACTTTTATAGTAAATGCGCAATAATATTCTATTCAAGATTACTTAGTATACCTTTTAAGATTTTTTTGGTATAAAATAATGTTTTATATGTAACAACAATTGATAATTTTCTTTAAACAGTAAATGATCAACAATAATTTTGATCATTTTTTAGTCGTGTCTAAGTAAAGTTCTGATTTTAACTAGAAAACATAAAATATAGTACTAATTAAAGTCGTAGATTTAGTATAGAGCTACAACTTCTTATAAGATAGTAAGCACTTCCGATAGATAATTACTGAAATCAAAAGAGATTACGATTGATAATTTAATTTAATATTTTTAATTTGATTTAAGATTTTAAAACAAGCAGGCATCCAATAAGATATCATACGATAGCCCTTGATCTGGATTCTTTTAAAAAAAAGTTTGTGCAATTTAAATTATTCGTTATGCCAGAATTCACCCTTGAAATTTTTTAAAAAATTTGAAAAAAAACAGCTGTCCGGATACTTTTGGCAGGCCGGTGTACATAGGTAAAATTTTATGGGTCATTTTAGCGAAAACCGACTTATAGAATATCTGATCAACATTGACCGACTTATATTTGTAGACCAATTATGTCATCAAATATCTCAAGATTTTCATTTCAAAAAGGAAATTAGCCAAAATAATATCTAAATAAGCATAATGCGAACGGTAAATTTGAATTATTTTTTTAAAAAAATCCATCTTATTGAAATCGTTACATGCACGCTTTTCTTTAATTTATCATACAATCTTTTAAACAAAATAATAAAATTGAATTGAATTATTAAAAAATGGTATTATTGTAAAATATCACTACAAGAATATGCTTTACTAATAGAACTAATAGAGGAAATGAAAATTTGGGTTATAAAAAAATTTATCAAATAAGATAATCATGTGTCCAAAAAATTTTCTAATCCGCAGTCAGTATAAATTTTTTAATTTTATCGTAGCAATAAACTATATTCGTTATGGAACCTACTTCAAACGAAAATAAAAATATTGTATTTCCCAATCCCTTTGCTGAACCCCTCAGCATACCTGCTTTTAGAAAGAATACTTTCCAAATATCCGATTGGGATTCTCAATTAAATAGTTCTGGACCAAATTCTCAAACTAAAGAATTCGAAGAAGTTGAGGAGGAAGTGATCTTAGTAGGCACTAGTAGAAGTTTAGTTGAAGCTTCCGCTAAAATAATAGTTAAAGAAGAAGAAGAAAAAATAAGACAGGAGAGATTGTCGCCTGAAATCAATTTATTACCAGATTCAAAGCCATATCGTTACTTGCCAGATGTCTTTTCCCATAAATGTAGTGTAGCCAGAGAAGAATCTATTTCACCACAATTCTCAGAGTTCGATACAAATTCATATCCGTCTTCTCCTTCTATCAATGCAATAAAAGATGATTATTTATCATCATCCGATAGTATAATTTCTTTGGTTTTCGAACCAAAGATAGAGATTTCAACGACCCCATCTCCCCCTAAATACATCGATTTAACTCAAGATAACGAAGAACCGTATATAATTGATTTAACACAAGATAAAGAGAAACTGGATATTATTGATCTTACTCAAGATAATGAAGAACCATCTAAAATACATAATAATGTAACAAAAACTTTAGCTTATAATGATCACGAAGACGTAGCGTCATCAAGTGATTTCAGTGATTCAACAATTGAATCTGAAAAATCTTCAAATGATTTTTCAGATAATGAAAAGAACGAGGAAAGGTAAAGATTATAATTATAATTACAATTATAATAATTTCTCATCTCTTCGATATTTTCACATATAATTTCATTTTCTTTCCACTAGTGTTGATGATTCCGATTCTGAAATGTCTGATCTAAATGATCTAAATAACGAAGATAGTGATATTGTCGATATTGATGACGATGATATCGATATGATGGATAATCGTTCAATAATACCTTTACGAACCAAAAATGAAGTTATAGATATATTGATCCCAAAACCGGAAATAGAACTACGACCAGATATAGAACTTATTGAAATAGGAAATATACTTCATGTAGTTGAAAATCAAGTAGTTGTTCAATCAAATAAATCTGGTGAAGCGTTAGTTTTAGATTTTGGGACAATTTTATTATTACAAGGACCGAATATTTTAGGAGTTGTAAGTAATTTTATTAATTTATTATTATTATTATTATTATCATTATTATTATTATTATTATTGCCAGTTACAGTATTATCAGTTATTATTATTCGTCTATCTTTTATATAATTAATTTTATTTTATTTTTTTATTATTTTTTTTTTTTAATCAGATCTTTGAAACTATAGGACCTGTTCATCAACCACTTTACGTAATCCGATTTAATGATTCTTCTGAAATTAATAAAGAAATAATGGTAAAAGATGCAAAGGTGTTTAGCTCACCTGATTTAATTAAATATACATTAACTCCAATGATCCGCGAAGTGAAAGGATGTGATGCAAGTAATATTTATGATGAAGAAGTCAGCGACGGGGTTTGTATTTTTATATTTTCTCATTAAAAATTCTTGACAATTAACAATATTAATATTAATGAAATCTATTTGATTTAATAAATAGGAATTGGAATTCTCAGATGATGAAAAAGAGCAACAACATAAACAACAATTAAAACGACAGAGAACACGGTTAGTATTTCTATATACTGTATACTAATGTTAAGCAAAAGAGAATGAATTCTTTCTTATAGTTTTTTTTTTTTTTAACAAAAAAAAAAATTATATAATCCTTAAAGAAATTATCATAACGAACAAGGGCCATTTATGAATCCACCATCTTCCGATCTAATACAATTAACAACGAATGAAACTAATGGAAGTATGGCAATTAATGCGATGCCATTTAATGACAAACAAATGTATGATCAAATTTCAGGGATAACACAATCAACACAATCAATATCTAATAATATCCCACAAGTATTTGGAGGAGGAGGAGGAAGTAGAGGTAAAAAAAGAAAACGAGGAAATCCTGGTGGACGTGGTGGTAATCGTTTTATAACACGACAAATTCCTACCAATAACAATGATCCTTTCGGTTACAATATTTTACCCCGACCAAAATTTTCATAATCAATTCTTTATATATTATTCAATTTTGAAATTACATTTATTTGTGTTTGTATTATACATATAGAATAAACGATCAAAAACACACAAATAATGTAAAAATATTGCAAATTTTCAAATAAAACCGATTATTTTTAAATGGCTATGAATTATATGTAACCTAAATTAGAAAGTCAACTGCGGAGTATTCCTTCTACTGCGATACTGCGGTACTGCTTACTACGCCTTGATAAAAATTACTACGCCTTAACCAAAGTGTTATAAATATTTTCTTCTTTTAAAAATAAATCATTTTTCAAATATCGTCATAACTCAAAATATGGATTATAAAACTATTCTTGATCGTCCAATTAATTTTTTTTCATTAGTGGCAGATAATTCTTCAACATTTGAGTTTTGTAAGTTAGATTCTTTATCACAACTTGATAAAATTGAAAGGGAAAACAGCTTAACCATTAAGAATGAACCTTTTAGGCCAACGTGTTTAGCTTGTGGAAATTTGTCTTTTGCAGACGTGGAACAACAAAGAGCTCATTATAAATTAGACTGGCATCGCTTTAATGTCAAACGCCGAGCAGTAGGTCTAAGTCTTGGCTCGACGAATCACGTTCCAGTCTCAGAACAAGAATTTGAAGAGCTTATGGGTGGTGGTGAGTTATATTTGCTATATTTCTCATTAAAATTTCTGATATATGATTTTTTTTTAATCAATTGAAATAATCGAATAATCTAAAATAATTAATTACATTTTTAGAAAGTTTATCGAGCATTTCTGGATCAGAAACTCTTTGTTCTGATTCATCTTCACAAGAAGATTCCACAAATGAATTCTTAAATGATGATATAAATGATATCAATGAGATAGTTGAAGTAGAGAAGAGAAATTCTCAACCAATTTTATGGTTTACAAGTTCTAATATATTAGAAGATAAAATTTATCTTGGAGTTTATAAGAATATCCTTCATAACAGAGGAGGTGAAGGTAGTCCCCTTAATGATATTAAAAACTTGATAAATCCAGAAGATTATAAACCAAAATACTGGTCGATGTTTATTATGGGTGGTGGTCACTTTGCAGGACTTATTTTAGATATAGTTCAAAATTTAGAGGTCACAAATCCTAAAGAAATTAAAGTAATAGTTCATAAAACTTTTCATCGATATACAAGTAAGAGAAATTATTATGTTTCTGTATATTGTTAATATATATACATATATATATAAAAATAATATATATATATATATAATTATTTATATCTATTTTCTTTGTGATATGATGATTTTCTTTTAGCACGTAGAAAACAAGGTGGCAGTCAAACGAATAGTGATAAAGCGAAAGGAAAATCAAAATCAGCAGGTGCAAGTTTAAGGCGTTATAATGAAGATGCATTGCGAGATGATATTCGTTCATTACTTCATCAATGGAAATCAATGATTGATCAAAGTAAACTTGTATTCATACATGCACCAAGTTACAATAAAAAAATGATCTATAATTATGATGGAGCTGTCTTGAAAAAAGGTATATATTGTGTATATTTTTCATAATCTTATTATTTTTCTCTCGGATAAATTTAAATATAAAATTTTGACAAGCTTTATATATTAATTTTATAGATGACCCTCGTATTCGATCTTTTCCATTTTCAACAAGACGAGCGGTTAGTTTCAAAATGTTATTTATTTTGTATATGTATTAATAAATTAATTTAAGAAATTATTAAACTTTTTTTATAATTTTTTATATAGACATTCAATGAATTAAAAAGATGCTTCATCGAATTTACTACTGTAAAAGTTTTACGAAAGAGTGGGGAAACTCTTCAGAACGAAGATCTTCAGTGTGAAAGTGTACAACGATCTATTAAAGATAAACCTCCTCTTGATGTAAAATTAGACAAACAAACAATAATTAAACAAACAATCAAAACAAAGCAATTAACTGTCGAAACTACGAAAACTGAACCATTAGTATCGGATACTATATTAAAACTTATTAATTTAACAGAGCAAGGAAAACTGGATCTGATGAAACAGCATATTTTCAAACATTCCCTTAATATTTTAGATCCTCTACCTGATATATTTGTAACTGAGAATGTCAAGAAACAAACATTACTTCATATTTCATCATTACTTGGTCATTATTCTGTCACAGAATATCTGTTAGAACAAGGTGCTGATCCAACAATTGTAACATCAAAGAATTTTACACCATATGATGTAGCGAAGGACAAAGAAACTCGTAATATATTTCGTAGATATTTTGCAGAACATCCGGATCAATGGGATTGGAAATCCGCACATGTACCTAGTCCTTTAACAAAAGAAATGGAAGAAAAGTCAAAAGAAAAGAAAAAGGAAAGAAAGAAGAAATTAACCCCAAATAAAAAAGAAAAAAATTTATCTGAATCACACCAGAATGTGATATCTATAGAAAATAATACTGAAAGTAAAGATAAATCAGTTGAATCAAAGAAAAATAAATCTAATGTCATTATTAAAAATACAGATGACATATTTTTAGGTATATCACCTGAAATGCGAATGAGAATTGAAAGAGAAAAGAGAGCCAGAGCTGCTGAAGCAAGATTTGGAACAACTTCAAGAATTAGTTCTTCAAATGTTTGCACAATTTGTGGAAAGTCTCTTTCTGGTCTAACTCCATTTGAGATAATGCAATTTAAGTTTTGTAGTACAATATGTGTTGGAAAATATAGAGAATTACATGATTGATTTCTTATTTTTTGTAAAATTATTATATGATCATTTGTTATATTATATTTTAATTTTTTTATTTAACCAAACGAATTATCTAATAAAATTATATACACTGAAAATAAATTATAATTACTTTGACTGATAATAATTTGAAGACTACAATAATTTATGCAAATTACCTCTCTGACATTTACCACATTTGGTATACTGTATATATTAAAAAAATTTTACCTATTAATACATGGAATTTCTCGTATTCTATTTATGTACAGTACAAAGAAAGAAAAAGGATAAATTCTTTTAAACGGAAATCAAATGTTATTAAATTTGTTGCCTCATATATAAAATACAATACATCATCAATTACATCTACAGAAGATAGAGATCAATATAATAATAGTTAATATTATTTTTCCAATTTCCTTAAGTTTGCCCGCGAACAGACAGTATAGATATCAATGTCGAAATGTTAAAGAAATCAGAATTTCCGTTTGATAATTATAATAATTCTTCGCGGCTATCAACATTACATCTAAGATATTCAACGAATCATTTCAATGGAAGTAATAACAAGGTTAAAATATCAAGTTAGTAAAAAACAAATTAGTACGAACATCAAACAAAATCTAGGTTAGAGAGTAAAAAAAACCAGAACAGATATTGATCATATTTATAAAAAATCTTGGTCGCACTAAAATTTCTCGGTTACACATATAGTGAAAGTGAATTATTAAATCAAGCATAACGATCTGTTGCTAGTAACTATTATAGAATTTTAACAATATATCAGACTTTGTGCCCTATTGATATTAAAAAAATTAATCCTTTTAATGCCAAGCATGACTCACAATCCATGCTTTTAAATTATCTTCGGCTTGTGCATTCACACCTTGCTCTTATTAAATAACACTATATTGATAAAGGAACCAAGGATATTAACATTATATAAAATTTATTGAAAACCAAGTGAATTCATACTAGATCATAGTGTCGTTTAAATGTGTCATAACAATTTTTTTAAAGATCACTACCATTTTTCTGTTAAAATTTAAAAGATTTATAAGATTTATATATAATTTGATCAATCTTTATCAAACAAAATATTACATAAAATTTTTTAATATTATCATGTATGGCTGGAAATGGTTTTTTATCAGTATCTTATATAAAAGAACATGCAAGTCTTAATGAAAAATTTAGATAAAGAAATTGTTAGTCATTACATATGTATTTAATACCCAATATGACCAATGTGATAAATGTAGTATTATACTTGTTATTCAAATTATTTTTCAAAATCCTAAATTATTTACTTTTCCAAAAATACTTTATGTGTAATATATACATGTTCCCAAAATTGATTTTTGGGGAATTTCATCTTTTTGAGATTTACACAGAATCTATTCTATATATGGAAGTAAAAAAAATACCTAGTTAAGTGCATCCTTAATCAAAGAATATCTGTATAATCAAAAAACTTCAGATTTTAAGTAAAATAATTTTGTCTTTCATGAAAAACTATTTCAACTTCTTTTTCCAAAATTGTAATTTCAGGGCTCCAAAATAATTTTGTCTTCCATGAAAAACTATTTCAACTTCTTTTTCCAAAATTGTAATTTCAGGGCTCCAAAATAATTTTGTGTACAAGTATAGTGTAATATATCTATGTTTTGGAACATTGAGTTACTGTCCAATTATACAAATCACCTTCTAGAGTTATTGTTCCATTAACAATATTAATTGGCTTATTTACAGTTCTGCTAATAGGTTGATATAGTGTCACAAATGTGCAGAATATTTCAAATACTTTCATTTATCAGTCTTAGAGTTTTTCTTATACAAACTAATTTTTTAATATGCTCTATCTGCCAGTAGGTCAAGCAATTCATTGATCTAAACTTGCCTATCTCAAAACAGATAATAAATATAATATAATTCTTTTTAATTCTTTATTTTTAATCTGAAGCCTCAGTAAGTAAGGTGGAATAAAAGTATCAAATAATATTTAACAATATTTTGCAATATCATGACACAAAAGATAAGTTTATTAAAATATAAAAGATACAGATTTAAAAGTAAAGGTAATTTCCATTTCTCACATGAAATGTATAAAAAAAATAATAATCAATGATCTTTTCTATAAAAGATAAATTTTTTTTGTTATCTTAATCCTTCTGCAAATTTAGTAGAGTTAATACAAGGTGCTAAAATTAATAAAGTGAAACAATACAATTCATAAAATTTTGTAGTTATCTTCAAAATAAAATAAACCCATCAAATTCATCACAGAACTTAATTTTACTTAGCTTTGATTGAAATAAGATATCTTCATTCATGATCAAATGTCAATGGCTTCACAATTAATAGTAAAGATAGTATCTTTAACTCATGTTACTAATTGGATTTTATTTTCTCATATAAATGAACTTACTTAACATTTTGAAGAATATACCTTTTATGGCTTTAACTGCATTTCTGTTTTTCTTTCTCATGATGATATTTCCCAAACACATTCCTCTGTGTATTGGAATTGTCACCACATGTTTTTTTTTATATCATCTTATACAAAAGCTCACTAATATTATCACATAAATTGGCAAAATCAAAGTTAAAATTGATTCTCATAATATTAACTATATAACAAGAATACAGGATATTATTTTCACAATTAATAATCTCACTGAAAAGTTGAGTGAGTTCTGGAAACTTATTATAATAATTTTAGTCAAATTGTAATTGAAGTTGAAACAATTGTCCAAACTATCATGATGATCCAAAGTGAAATTAATTAATATTATATATTTACTTAGGATATAAATAGATGAAAATCTGATTAATCAAGTAAAGCATTATTATCATCTGACTATTCTTTATCTTCTGTCCATTTATTTTTAAATTTATCAGATAAAGATTTAGTTAAAAAAAAAATAATTACTTGAAGTATTTAAATTTACTAATTATTATTTCTGATTACAAGAATCTTGTAATCAGAACACTGGTCGAAAATTGATAAAACATACACATATCGGGTACCTGATATATGTATGTTTTATCAATTTTCAACCAGTGAAGGTCTCAGATAAAAAAAAGAAAAAGAACACAAAGTTCTGAACCAATGATAGTAAAAAGAACAAAAACCAACCTCCCTGAAATAAAGAATATTTATGCTAATGGGCCAACCTATAACCCAGGAAGAAGTAATTACAACCAAAGAGAAGAATCAAGCAAAGAAGAAATTGATTGGACTAAAGATTCCAAAGAAGAAATTATGAGAAAGGTAAACTTTGATAAAAAGGGGAAGACTAAATATATTAGTTGGAGAGAATATGAAGAAGTAGCATGAAGCAAACACTGCACTATACGTGTTGCCCAAATCCCAAATCATTTGGGATTTGGGACGCCAAAATCCCAAATTACTAGTATTTGGGATT